ACGCACCCACGACACAAGAGAAAATCCTAGTGTGGGGCAACGTTTTTTTTAAAAAAATACCACCCTTGATCGGATGATCCTCCTTTTCTGAACTTACAAAACTAAACTCTCTGTTTGTTAAAAAAATGAATACCTACCGAAATAAAAACGAGAAACCGACATTTTACTTAATAGAAACAGAAATGTCCCGTTTTCCTTAATAAAATCCAGTTAGGTTGAGTGAAAACAGACCCTTAATACCATTTGGAGAAGTCGCTGAGTGTTTATGAAAACATTTAGGTACTGCGTGGACGAAATTCGGATGGTTTTTAGCTTTATATGTAATGTGCGTAAGTATAAAGCTTTTTCCTTATCTTAAGACTTTATTTGTGATGTTTTTCTGTGTTGTTAGGCTTTTCGTGTGTCGTGGTGTAGTGTCGTCGGTAGCTGTGCTGTGTTTTTCGAGCACAGACCAGTTTTAGGGAACAGAGAGTAAAGATTCCTAATCACGTGAGATAAGATTCCTAATCAATTCTTAATTCTCAAAGTGTGGGAGAGCCATGCTTCGGCACAAATGGGTCGGCTCGACCGGAGTGATACCACGGCCTCACAGAAAACCTACATGAAACAACCAGAACGTTGTGTTTCGCCGTGTGAGTGAGGTTACCGGAGGCCCAATCCTTCCCCTACCCCAATCCCTTCCCAATCCCTAAATCCCCAAAATCTCAATCCCTAAAAGGTCGGCAACGCACTCGTTACTCCTTCTTTGTCGCGGGTGTCCATGGGCGACATCCAGGTAATCCGTCTACTCGTTTGCTGTCCTATCACATAAAAAAAAACACCCTAGTGTCTCCAGTTTAAAAAATTACAGTAGAACGTTGGGATTTTCTGTCCATGTTTAAATTATTGAAAGTAACGATTTGCTGCCGTAAATAAACTAAGAAAAACTCGACTAGTTTCAAGTCACAACGGGACTCTTATTTATTAGCAGCGTGCGCGTCCCGGCGACTCGTGTTCTTATTGTGTTCAATAATCCATTATTATAGAGGCTAATAGGCTGACCTACGATATGAATTGGAGTTGCCGAACGGGTAAAACCAAGATTTGTACTAGTTTGTTATATTGTTACCGGCGAGAAGTGAGCTTTTTTTTGTGAGGGGAAAATCATCAAATGACTTCTTCCGCCCAGGGCCGGGCGGGAGAGAGTGTCAGACTCTTACTGACTAAAACCCCCCCTGTTCCTTCTCCCGCTCTGGGCCGAGGTCGCGGTGCCTCATTGCACTTACCCCGCAACTGAGCTTGCGTTTTAGAATTCTTTTGGAAAAGGAGGCAAACGAGCGGAGGGACAACCTGATGGTAAGTAATCAGCGCCACCCATGGACACTTGCAATACTAGAGGAGTCGAAGAAGTTTCAGAAGGAGTACTCTCGATTCAATCCTTTCGATACAGAGATGAAAATTATAAGTACAAGTATTAACTCAACTGAACCAAAGAAATAAGTAGCCTTAACAAATTGTGTACTGTTGCCTACTTATTTCGCTTCAAAAGACGCGTTCTAAAGGAAACTTCATAATAGGACTTAGTACCCTATTCTGCAAAACAGAATCCCAAGAAAAAAAAAATGTCTTTTACTAGAAAAACGAAGGAAATCTCTTCCATTTAACGTTTATTCCGACGCGACGACGAAAAAGGATTTGCTGGTAAAATGTTTCTAGAAAATTCTCTCTTTTTGAATATAAACGAGGTGTTTTCTTTAGGAAGGTTTTCATAAATGTTTTTTTTTTCAAGTTCTTTTACCTTTCTAAACATTTTCTTAGGAAGTTTCTCAGTAAGGCAGATTCTAAGGGAAGATTTTTAGATATCTGCCTGATAGAGAAAAAGGAACTCATTGTTCGGGCCATAAGATGCTAAGAGACAAAGAAAAACAGAGAAGGTACGTGTGTCGCCTGGACAGTCTACGCTACCATCAGTTGACTGAACAATCTCTGCACTACATGAGCTGCTGTTTACATGTGAACATTAGCTCATGACGATACCTAAGTACGTGTGTCGCCTGGACAGTCTACGCTACCATCAGTTGATTGGACAATCTCTGCACTACATGAGCTGCTGTTTACATGTGAACATTAGCTCATGACGACACCTAAGTACGTGTGTCGCCTGGACAGTCTACGCTACCATCAGTTAATTGGACAATCTCTGCACTACATGAGCTGCTGTTTACATGTGAACATTAGCTCATGACGACACCTAAGTACGTGTGTCGCCTGGACAGTCTACGCTACCATCAGTTGATTGGACAATCTCTGCACTACATGAGCTGCTGTTTACATGTGAACATTAGCTCATGACGACACCTAAGTACGTGTGTCGCCTGGACAGTCTACGCTACCATCAGTTGATTGGACAATCTCTGCATGACATGAGCTGCTGTTTACATGTGAACATTAGCTCATGACGATACCTAAGTACGTGTGTCGCCTGGACAGTCTACGCTACCATCAGTTAATTGGACAATCTCTGCACTACATGAGCTGCTGTTTACATGTGAACATTAGCTCATGACGACACCTAAGTACGTGTGTCGCCTGGACAGTCTACGCTACCATCAGTTGATTGGACAATCTCTGCACTACATGAGCTGCTGTTTACATGTGAACATTAGCTCACGACGATACCTAAGTACGTGTGTCGCCTGGACAGTCTACGCTACATCCTTGTTGACTGGACAATCTCTGCACTACATGAGCTGCTGTTTACATGTGAACATTAGCTCACGACGATACCTAAGTACGTGTGTCGCCTGGACAGTCTACGCTACATCCTTGTTGACTGGACAATCTCTGCACTACATGAGTCGCTGTTTCTTACCTTCCTAGGCTTCTGTCGGTGACGTCGTTGCATGATGCAGCACAGTCCCCGAGTAACATCACATTCGCTTGAAGAGTTGCAGTCCTCATTGTATTGCTTGCGGCCAGCTGACGGAGGTCGGCAAACGTGCATCTCGCCTAAACAAGAACCATAATACTATTAGTACAAGTCACATTTTCCTTTGAATTTTTTTAAAATGCACTTTCAATCTCATTCCCTTGTTTTTTTGGAATATGACTATTACAACTCAGTGACACCAGTTGGTTGAGCTGGTTGTAAATTATTGACACTCGTCGTGCTCCTCTTCAGAATGGGAACACAAATTCCTTTCCTCAAAAGACATGGCACATTATATTACTTTTTACATTTTCTAGACTTTATAAGAGACGGAACTCTGAGTTTGTATTGACATTTCTTCTCAGAATAGTCAGAAAGCAAAATGCCGGCTTCATTAGGTTTTTCTTATATAATATATAATGTTGTCGTGTAAAACTGTTGTTAAATGGCCTATTTACAAATATAAATTCATTGTTTAATTTACCAGGCACAACTTCCTCGCAAACCAGTCCAGCATCACATTGGTTCTCTCGGTTGCAGATTTCGCCAAGTTTTCTTCCGGCAAACGCTGGCAAGCAGCGACCTCCGTCTTCTATGAACAAAAAATAAATAAGTTAGACCTTATAGCAGTTGGCTTAAGCGGAATATCTTTTAATTGTTGGAGAGCCATGCTTCGACTCGAATGGGCTGGAGCGGAGTGATACCACGGCCTCAAAGAAAATTGGCGTTAAGCAACACTCTCTTGTGTTTCACCGTGAGAATGAGGTTACCGGAGGATCAAATCTTACCCTCAAATTGTTGATCCAGGGCTGAATGTGATGATTGTATATTTCACGATAGAAGAAACCCGTACTTACAGAAAACAGGTACTTTTGAAACATCAAAACAGATAATGAATAGTCTGTCAGTCTGTCCGTCAGTGAAGCTAGGCGCTATGTGCTTTTGTAAAAAGTATAGAATAGTATAGAAATGTAATAAAATATAAAAGATATTTAGGTATTTGCAATCATACGGGATACTATGAAAACCTAATAATACTTTCTGTAATATTAAATTCAAAGTCAAAATCATTTATTCCAACTAAACAATAAATAGGTATTTTCGAGACGAAAAATAAATTAGTAGTCAGTGTCAGTGAAGCTAGGTGCTCGTTCCAAATTGTAGATTCGAATGGAAAAGAACCAGCAAGAAACTCCATCCTTACTCATTTTCTTAATAATATTTGTTTTACAGGTTTACTAATAATTTTTTTCACATTTAGGTACCCATATGAGAGAACAATTTATTAAACAAAATAGTAAATTGTAGTAGCAACATAATATGAAAGTAAAATATTTCTACCTTTTGAGTCCGACGAACGGTGAGCGGAAAAAAAAACATAATATACGGTCGAATTGAGAACCTTCTCCTTTTTTTGGAAGTCGGTTAAAAATGTCACCAGTTTACGAATCGAGACGGGTTCAAACTAGGGGGTGAGGTGTTTAGAAATAGTGGGGTAAGAGGGGTCGAAAAAGGGTGTGAGACGGGTTCAAAGGGGGGAGTGAAAAGGGGGTGAAATTGCCTTACCCTTGGAAGTTTAGCTTTGCCTACGTTCTTGACCTGAGTCAATATTATATTTGTATTCATGTATAGACGGATATGTGTTTTATTGATTGGTGTCATTTATTTATTTATAACAGTGGCCTTGTATTTTTTTATGTAGCGTAGCCATTTTTCACAATATTTTTTGTGGTATAAATATCTTAGTCCGCTATAGGATTTTTTCTTAAGTCGTGGGTGCGTTTACTTACAAACTCACATACAATCATACAGACACGGGACAACAATTTATGAATCATACAAGTTTCCGCATCGGAATAACAATTTGTGGATCACACAAAGAATTGTTCCGAGCGGGACCTGAACCCGCGACACATTCCACGGCAGCCAGTTGCCTAGCCACCGCACCAACCATCAGTCAAACAAAATAGCCATATGATTAAATTATCATGTGTTTTGGCTTTTTTTATCTTTGTACCTATTTTAATACTGATTAGCAGAAATTGAAAAGGGCCAATTTTAGTCACAACTTTAGGATTGAGTCTCCGGTAACATGACTAATACGGTGATACTCAACGATGTGGTTGTTTCGCGCTGGTTTTCTGTGAGGCCGTGGTATCACTCCGGTCGAGCCGACCCATTCGTGCCGAAGCATGGCTTTCCTACACTTACTTAAGTATGATGTATATACAATCAAACCAAAACAAAGACGAGGGTCCAAAATCAAGTCAAACCATGACCAATCCGTTGTCTCAAATTAATATCTTTAATTAGAACCTTCAAAGCTCAAGTAAATTGGACGGTTGAGGTCTTTACTGACGTGAATTCTGATTGGACGAAACTGAATACAATGGCGTAGTTTAAATTAATTATAATTTGTGTGACTTATTCCTGTTATTGTTTGACGAGGTACGTTGACAAGTTTCAAGCTAAGATAGTGGTTTATAAGTATGAAGCAGTTCAGTTGGAATGGCTTAATGTGTCTTTTCGCAATTGTAAGAGTGAGAAAGATGGCCTTTTTTGTGAGGTGGAAAATCGTCAAATGACTTCTCTCTAGTTCAGAGTGGGGCACAGAAGAAGTGACAGACTCTAGTTAAAACTAAAAACTCCCCGTTCCTTCTCCTGCTTTAGGCCGAGGCCGAGGTGACTTATTGCGTTGCCCCGGAACCCTGGCTGAACATCAGCCCTAAGGCCCGCCCGTCTGTGGTAGTCTATTGGCTCTTTGAGTCGCGCGTGAAACGCTACGCGCCGTACGCTCGGGTCCGTTTCTGGTCGGGCGGCGAGCTACCCTTACTCGCCGTCCACGGACCCGGCGCTTACGGTGGCCGAAGATCATCTCTCGATCTCCAACGCCCAGTGTGTCGTCTACTGCGGCGGCTGGGGCGTGAGAAAGATAGTTCCTTCACGCAAGAATAACTGCTTTGCAGAAAGAGAAGCTTTCCTCTCGCTCCCCACCATAGCCTCGACTAAGCCCGGACGCGAGAGATCGCCGCTGCCGATCACAGGGCACACCGCCACCGCCAGCTCTACTGTGGCCTCTGGGCGGTCCTCACAATAACGTCCCAAAACAGGAATCTACCGAAGCTGCCGTGTCCGGAAGACGGAAGGTGAGGACGCCATGGCGTCTCTCAAGCCGCTCCTCGTAGGTGATTGGTTAGTTAATTCACAAGAGTAAGTCTATTTTTACGTCTGACGGTAGTTAGGTACTTTAAAAAAAACCAAAACTACCCATCTGACTTCTTGTTGGTAGGTTAACAGTTACGGCAGTCTTAAACTAAAGAATAACTTAAAAATAATAAAGATACCTACTGAATAAATTACCGAAAGTTTATATAGATAATATAAATCAATTATTCCTTTTCCTTAGGCAAATAAATGGCTTGTAGGAGAAACTCTTTTTATTATAAAAACGTAACATAGACTTTTAGGCAAATCACGTAAGTATTTTAATAAAATATAACATTTATTTCTATAATAAACTGAACACGTGTCCGTCCCTAATACACAAGAGAACCAATTTAAAAAACAAATTACCCACGTTTACTGGGCCATTTTTATAAAAGAACGATGTGTAATTATATTTACATATATGTATGTCCTTTTTTACGAAGGGTTTTTATCTTTTTACCGATTTCGTCAAAGTATGAATAAGTAAATATTTGTTTTTTGGCATGTGATTGTACAAGGACCTCTTCATAAAATTGTTTGGTATACTCTCAACGCTTGGCTATCTGTGGTCGTGGATCAAAATGTTTAAATTCTTAAAGTTTGTGTAGTTTGTACTCAATACTCAATACTCAATACTTTATTGCATTCCATAATGTATACAAGGCTGGTAGGTAAATTACAGAGAAACAAAAAGAATTGTATGTTTTTTCTTCTTTTTTTTATTATGTTTTTGTTTATTGACTTTATTATGTTTTGTGTTGCTCTAAATACATTTTATATCAATCTATCTACAGCAAAAAATAATAACAGATGGTTAGGTATTTGGCGGTTGCCAAATCACAATTTTTTATATTTTAAGTAGTTTGCTTGTGAGAAAACGTGTTCCATCGTAGGTCGCATCGGCGCTTACCATCAGGAAGATAGTGGCTTAAAACCGGCCGATTGTCTATGGAGTTTCCTGCAAACACTTCCATCCATTGAATGAAAACTTGAAAAGAGACGGACTCTGACTTTGTTTCGGCAATTCTTCTCAGAGTAGTCTGATAGGAAATGCCGGCTTCTTTCTAGTTTTTTACATATAATTTTGACGTGTAAATATGCTGTTTTACGGCCTATTTACAAAAATAAATTCATTGTTTCATTGAATTAGGATTGGGTAATAAGTTAGTAGTAGGTCGGCAAACGAGCAGACGGATTACCTGATGGTAAGCAATCAGCGTCGCCTATGGACATCTACAACACCATCACAAGTCCTTGTGAATGCCTTGCCGGCCTTTTAGCGTCGTGGTTTCGGGAGTCGGGGGAGTGGGTGGGGAAGGAGGATTCGGTCTCCGGTAACTTCGCTCACAAGGTGAAACACTACTGTGGTTTTTCCACTGTCGGTTTTCTGTGAGGCTGTGTTATCACTCCGACCCATTTTTGATCTTAGCTTTGGCTTATTTGAACCTTTATTCGACTTTTATAAGACCCGCGGGAATCCAGGAGTACTGGCAGCCATTGAATAATTGGTTAGTTAATACTTCATTGGTATTGATAAGTATTATAAAAACAGTTTAAAATTTTTAACTACCTCAATTTAGCCAGAAGCATCTCTCGGCACGCGAGTCCATTTTATAAATGGTAATTCTGTTTTATAACTGCCGGTATGTACAAGTTAATCCCATATTTTGTGACCCGAGGCACTCGTAAAGTTAGTCCCAGTTGTCCTATGCATAAACATATTATGACAGTTGTTATTCGATACTGGGTTGTGTTGTAAACATTAGTTTTTTCATATTTTAAGTGTGGAAGAGCCATGTTTCGTGACGAAAAGGTCAGCTCCACCGAAGTGATACATCTACATCGCTTGAATCAGCTGGTGTTCATGATTAAACATTGAAAACCCGTTTATAGGACCAAATATTGTAATTCGTCGAAAAGCTTCCAAAAACTCAACTAGATGGCGTTGGCGTCGAATTAGATGGCGCTAGCGTTTGTTTCACACGATTTAGTTAGGTCCTAATTAATTATTGTTAAAAGTTTAAGTACAATCGTAGAACAACATACAGCAGTTAGTTGTTTTATTTCGATTACGTAAACCCTACTCGTATACCCACTAAGTTTAACTCTTAAGTACTGGGTACCTTGGTTGTACTTGGTATTTAGCAGCTAGGGTTGCAGGGTTAACGCAATGAGGCACCGCAGCCTCGGCCCAGAGCAGGAGAAGGAACGGGGGGGTTTTTAGTCAGTAAGAGTCTGACACTCCCTCCCGCCCAGCCCGGGGCGGAAGAAGTCATTGGATGACTTTCCCCTGACAAAAAAATAAAATAGAAAAAAACCCTCGGCCCAGAGAAGGCTCGTACGTACGTACCTAAAAGCAGCTATCCTTTTTAAACGGTTTATAATTAAGTATAACTTCACTATTTTTGCCTTATATACACATTTTACTATATCTGGTGGTAAGTTAAACATAAGCTTATGAAATCCACCTTAAAGTTACGGCGTCAATTCATCTACAAGAAGGCCTTGAGCTTTGTTTTCTGCTGGGGATCGACAGATGATCCCCGGCCACCGTAAGCGCGGGTCTGCGGACAGCGAATAAGTAACGGTAGCTCACACCCGACCAGTACTTGACCCGAGGGTATGCGCGTCGCGCGCTTTAAAGAACCAATACACCACCATAGACGGGGCCCTATAGGGCTGATGTTCAGTCGGGGTTGCGGGGTAAACGCAATGAGGCACCGTGACCTCGGCCCATAGCAGGAGAAGGAACAGGGGGGTTTTTAGTCAGTAAGAGTCTGACACTCCCTCCCGCCCCGCCCTGGGCGGGAGAAGTCATTAAATAATTTTCCGCTCAGCTTTGGTTATTACTAGATAACAGCGGTGTAAAACAGAACACCAAGTTAATTAGTAAGATGAAAAACGTAATTAGTCTCAATGTTCTAACACAAGGAAGCTAATTAAACAAATTAATTGTAACTCGGTATGGCACCTTTGTGTAAGAGTAGCTAATTATTTTTATCGTGTCCAAACACTGAAAAATTTTCAGAGGGAAATGTTAATTAAGGTAAATTATATTGTTGTTGTGTTTGATAATGATTATAATAATAATTGGCTGTTATTTCCTGAAGGTAAGAAGGCAGGAGGGGAAGTGAAATCAGAATTTTCCTCGTTTTGTTTATGACTTTGTATGTTCCACTAGCTGTTTCGCGCAGCTTTCCCCGCATCCCGAAGGAGCTAATTCCCGTACACGAATAAAATATAGCCTATAACACTCAGGAATATTGTAGCTATCTATTAGTGAAAGAATTTTGGCAATCCGACCAGCGGTTCCAAAGATTATTACATACAAACTTACAAATTTTACCTCTTTATAACATTAGTATAGATAAATTGTTCCAAATCTGGATAAGATGTGTAGAAGACATTGTGTTTTTGTAAGGGCATTCACGACACAGGATAGAATCCGAATAGTTATCACTACATAGTATAATACAAAGTAGCTTTCTCTGTCCCTATATCCCTATTGTATGTCCTATCTTTAAAACAGCGTAACGGGTTCTGATGCGGCTTTTTTTAAGTAGATAAAATTCTTAAAGCAGAATATTTTATATGTTTAATATTTAATTAATAGTGGAAAATTTTGTTTTGTAGCATTGTAACCGTGCGAAGCCATAGCATGTCGCTAGTCTTTCATAAAAAGAAGTAGAATCAAAACCGATCGAATTTTTGCACTAATTAATTGTCCTAACTTCCGCGCAAACTTAATACCAGCACAGACATCCATTAGGATTTGGTTGTGAGTTGTGAAACTGATTGCAAAAGACTAACCATGGAGTTTCTTGCTCGTTCTTCTCCATAGAAATCTACAGTTTAGAAAGAGCAAATAGCTTCACTAGAGGACAGACCGATACGCAAAAACAACACGCGAAAAACTTTAACTAACAAAGAAAGCCTCGACAAATTCACTCCAAAAAAGACCGTAAAAAATTCACCTACCGAATGGAAGTTCTCGTACATTTTTAATCGACAGTCATTTGCCCTAAACGGCAGTACTTAATTATTCGCAATTTATTTTCAGAAAGACCTTTTTTACACTCATCTATCCTACTATAATAATACTAGTTTTTTCCCGCGACTTTGTTCGCGTGGTGGTATGATAGTTTTTAAAACAAAAAAAAACTTCCTGCAGTTTTTTTTTGTTTTAAAAACTATCATATGTCCTTTCTCGAGTTCTAAACTATATCTGTACCAAATTTCGTACAAATAGGTTCAGTAGTTTAGGCGTGAAGAAGAGACAGACAGACAGACAGAGTCACTTTCGCATTTATAATGTTAGTTTGGATTATAAATATGAAAATTTGTAGTTTCGTTAGTTTGTTCGAGGATATTACATTGATACCCTAGATTGACACATTTTATCAATGTACCACACGGGACGAAGCCGCACGCGGCAGCTAGTGTATTATGTATATAAAAGAAAGTCGTGTTAGTAACACTATTTTATAACTCAAGAACGGCTGAACCGATTTAGGTGAGAATTGGTGTAGTTTAAAATCAGAAGAAGGTCATAGGATAGGGTAGGGTAGGAGGGTAAGGTGTAGGTAGGTGACTAGGTAGGGTAGCTGTGTAGGTAGTAAAATAAAGAGAGCAAAGCCGCAAGTAAAAGTTGGTATAATGAACATCATATGTTTGTGAATTCACTGAGCGACTTTGAGATCCTGAAAAGGGTCGGAAACTGGCTGAATATAAAGTTGGAAGGCTGCCTGTTCAATTTTTCATCACACAGACGGTTAGAGGTCAAATTTAATAATTGGTTCCTGGCAAGCCGAGGTGTAATTTGGGTAGTAATTTAGTTGGACTGGAGTATATTTTCAAAATCAAATCAAATCAATCAAAATCAAATCAAATCAAATTCTTTATTTCAAATAGACCAAAAAAGGCACTTTTGAACGTCAAGCAAAAAAGATATCATAAGGTTTAACTTTATATGTCAGTCTGTCCGTCTGTCCTCTAGTGAAGCTATTTGCTCGTTCCAAAGTGTAGATTCCTATGAAGAAGAACGAGCAAGAAACTCCATGGTTACTCTTTTTCAATCACTTTTTACAATGCATTGTTACATAATTTAGATAGTTCGGGCTGTTGTCATTATAATCTTGCACCAATCTTGCACTGGCAACTGGCTGCCACGCAACGTGTCGCGGGTTCGAATCCCATCACGGAACAACTCTTTGTGTGATCCACAAATTGTTGTTCCGGGTCTGGGTGTGATGTGTATGTGAAATTGTATGTTTGTAAACGCACCCACGACACAGGATAAAATCCTAGTCTGGGGCAACGTTTTTATTTAAGCGAAAGCGAAAAAAGTCTTTTTTGGAGGGGGGAAGATCAACCAATCACTTCTGATGCCTTGGGTGCAGCGAGAGGAAGTGTCAGACTCTTACTGACTAAAAACCACCCCGTTCTATCTCCTACTCAGGGCCAGGAGAAAGAACCTCCCACAATTCCAAAAACTCATAATCCTAAATCCCCAAAAGGTCGGCAACGCACTCGTAACTCGTCGCCATGGGAGGCGCATTCGGTCAATGAAGCTATTTGCTCTTTCCAAAGTAAGTGTAGATTCCTATGAAAGACGAGCATGTAACTCCATGGTTACTCTGTTTCCCGATCAAATTCTCTTCTTCTAGGATATTTTTTTTATGGTATAAGTCGGCAAACGATCAGGCGGATTACCTGATGGTAAGCAATCGGCACCGCTCATAGACACCCGCAACACCAAAGGAGTTACGAGTGCGTTGCCGGCCTTTTGGGGATAGGGGTTGCGGATATAAGGATCGGGAAGGGATAGGGGAAGGGGCGGGATTGGGCCTCCGGTAACCTCACTCACACGGCGAAATACTACGTTGTGGTTGTTTCACGCCGGTATTCTGTGAGGCCGTGGTATCACTCCGGTCGAGCCGACCCATTCGTGCGGAAGCTTGGCTCTCCCACATTTAAATTATATATTTTCTTTATATTGAAAACTGGTCATTAGTTTTACGGAATAGACGTTACCGTATAACAAAATTGAAAACCAGATTTCTGAGCTTGTAAAACCTTTGTACTTGTAAAGTTATACACGAGCGCGCACTTAGCATATGATCAACATAAAATATGAAAACGCCAAGTTGGGATTATAAGAAAATATTGCAAAACACAAGTGCCTTAATACGAAAATGTGACTTATATCATCTTTCATATTATAAAAAAAGAATCTGTTTTTGTTTGTTTTTCTCTCACGTAGAAAGCGAACGATTTTGTTATAATTATATTCCTTTTTTTATATCACATGGATTACCCGATGGTAAGCTGTCATTACCACCCATTTTTTTTGTGAGGGAAAAATCATCAAATGACTTCTGCCCAGGGTCGGGCGAGAGGGAGTGTCAGACTCTTACTGACTAAAAACCCCCCTGTTCCTTCTCCTGCTCTGGGCCGAGGTCGCGGTGTCTCATTGCGCTTACCCCGCAACCCCGGCTGAACTATTAGCGTGGTCTATTGGCTGTTTGAGGCGCGCGCGGAACACTACGCGCCGTACGCTCGGCTCTGGTTCTGGTCGGGAGGCGAGCTACCGTTACTCGCCGTCCGCAGACCCGCGCTTTCGGTGGCCGGAGATCATCTCTCGATCCCGACGCCCGGAATGTCGCCTTCTGCAGCGGCTGGGGCGCGAGGAGGATAGTTCCCTCGCGCGCTCCGCCTCCTGCGTTGCGAGCATAACTGCTTCGCAGAAGGAGAAGATAGCTTCCCAGTTCCTCTCGCTATGAACCATGGCCTCGATTAAGGTCGGGCGCGAGAGGTCGCCGCCGCGTCATTACCACCCATGGACACTCGTAAAAAAAAAGAAGGAACTATAAGTGCGTTGCCGGCAATAGCTTGTAGGTCAGTCTTCTAGTGAAGCTATTTGTTCGTTCCAAAGTGAAGACTCTGATAGAAAAGATCAAGCAAGAAACTCTATGGTCCTCCCTGCTCCATTTTAAATATTAGATACTTAACAGGGGCCAGCTGGCAGCGAAACCATGGTTCAAGCCACTAGTTATTAGGACTCCAGAGACAGAAACCTCCTCACGATACGTGCTGTTTCAAGGAGAACTTTCATGTGTAGGTATGAGGCCCTTGTTCCATCCTGACGCCAGCCTCTTGAGGTGGTTGTGGAGGATTTGGAGACTAACCGATTGGTTGACACAACTATCGCCACAATGATAGCTACACAATTCACAACTGGATGCCGACCGATATCTGACGATACTTCGGCCGTCCGTCCTTCGAGCGACGTAGCCTGCTCATTGCCACTTTAGCCTGCAGATTTTACGAGCTTTGTCGGTAACTTGGGATCTTTTGCGAATTTCCGCATTTCGGATTTCGTCGCGCAAAGTGACCCCGAGCATCGCCCGTTCCATCGCGCGCTGAGCGGCTCTGAGTCTTTCTTTAAAGGCCAAGTAAGGGATTTGTAAATATAATAATAACGAAAATCTACCTACGTCAATAACGTACCCAATATTTCAGTGACAAAGCTTCGCTGAAATATTTCATCCATATTCAGCATTTGTATTAAAATAAATTTACTACGAACTACGCTTGTAAAAGTACACACGCCAGTAAAATATGTGAGTACGGTAAATATTTTTTATGTGACGTGAGTTGAGTAAATATTTTTTACGTTACTCGCTTCTTTCGTAATATGTTTCGTGTAAATAAATATATCGAGTAAATTGAAAAGGCATTGTCAAGTTTTACGTTATTGAAATAATTGATTACTTTGAAAAACGGTTTTCTTTGTTGATTTTTCTCGCCTGAAATGATGAAGTGGCCTTGATAAGTATGCATGATCTGTCTATACATAAGTGCCCACTGCTGAGCATAGGCCTCTTCTCATACCAATAAGGTTTGAGCAGTAATCAACAGGCTTGCTCTAGAGGAATTCAGAATTAAAATTGGATAGAAATCTAAATAATCTTAATAATCATAGAAAGTACGTTTAACTCAGAAAAAGTCTCGTCCGACTTGTCAGTTTTCAATCTGGCATAATGGGGAGGTTTTTAGTCAGTAAGAGTCTGACAATACTTCTCACCCAACCCAGGTTGCAATGAATGCACGAATAGTGTGGTGGCTGGGCAACTGGCTGCTATCCAACGCGTCGCGATTTAAATTCCCTCACGAAACACTTGTGGCATCCGCAAATTGTTGCTCTGAGTCTGGCTGTAAAGCTGTAATGTCTACGTAAATTTCATGTTTGTACCGAGCGGCGCGTAGCGTTCCGCGCGCGCCTCAAAGAGCCAATAGACCGCCACAGACGGGGCCCTATAGGGCTGATGTTCAGCCGGGGTTGCGGGGTAAGCGCAATAAGGCACCGCAACCTCGGCCCAGAGCAGGAGAAGGAACAGGGGGTTTTTAGTCAGTAAGAGTCTGACACTCTCGCCCAGGGCCGGGCGGGAGAAGTCATAACCTCTTTTGGTACAAACATGAAAGAGTCTTAATGATGAATGAATGAGAAGACTTTTTATAAATCTAATGACAATTCTTACCTATATGGTGCAACGTTTAAAAAAAGCTGGACTTAAGCAAACCTAAATCAAAAATTAACTCAAAAATATACTCAAAAAATGTATCGGTTTCGTGTTCCATGCTTGATGGTTGACTTACATAATGTTAAAACACTATACTTGACCTAGAATCGAAACAAAAGCGCGGCAAAATAACTAATTATCCGGATTACCATAAGTGCACGTTAAAGTGTAAAACATTTTATGATTCACAATGCAAATTACCTAAAATTATGTGTAATTAACTCATGTTTTTTTTAAATTCTATTTCTGTAATGGTCAAGGCCATAGTTTTTCAAGGTTAGGTGCTTATGGTATTAAAATTAGTACTCTGAATTTCCTATAATGTTGGTAACAAACATGTGATTCGATGATGGCCCATAATGTCTAATAACTACATAGTCTATACTAATATTATAAAGAGTTAAAATTTGTAAGTTTGAATGTATGGGGTAATCTTTGGAACCGCTGGTCGGATTGCCAAAATTCTTTCACTGATATATAGCTACAATGTTCCTGAGTGCTATAGGCTAAAACATCAAGCTACGATTAAATGGAGCCGAGCAGCGGGTGAAACCGCGCGAGAGTAGCTAGTATAAAATAAAGTCGTTTTCTCTGTCCCTATATCCCTATGTATGCTTAAATCTTTTAAACTACGCAATGGATTTTGATTTAGTTTTTTAAGAGATAGAGTGATGGAAGAGGTAGGTTTATAATTATGTATAATATATAACATTTATTAAACAGTGGACAAACTTAGTATCAGCATTGCACCCGTGTAAAGCCGGGGCGGGTCGCTAGTTTATTTATATTTTAATCGAGTGGTCGGTGAAATTCTAGTTACAGATTTTGAGTACCTACACTTTATAATGCACTGAGTACGGGGAGTGATAGAATATTTGGAATTGTGCTTACATTCATTCAAAGTTACACATTATACATAAAGCACATATTACTTCAAAAAGTCACGAGAAGCGGGCGCCTTATTTTTTACGACAATATATAGTAATAAAGTATAAATATCAGAGACACTTAACAGCATTACAATATACAACTTAATTACAACTCTATTAATAAGAACGTAACGAGCAATTTACTGCAAAATTTACACTGTACATAAGTGTCAAAATATTATGAAGAATAAATAAGATTTTTTTTCTGTGGTTTTAAGAAAATTTTCTTATGTGGTCTTCTTCGTTGCATAGGCACACATAACTACGTTTTTTTACATTTGCAACGTTTTATTGTTGCAACCGTAAAAAGAGGTAGCTACATGTGCATGTCTTGAATACCTTCTTCTTCTTCTTGGAAATACTGGAAAAAAATACACGTAAACAACGTAAGAAAAATTGAAGACAGACAATTGTTTAAAAAAAAATACACACAAATAAAAAAAAATCAAATCGATCACCTGCAAAATAATTGATATAAGGTATATTGCTGCAAAATATCACGAAAATAATGTAAATAATTTTAAATATTGACTTAAGTTGGGCGGCAAACGAGCAGACAGATTACCTGATGGTTAGCAATCGGCGCCGTCCATGGACACCCGTAACAACAGAGGAGTTACGAGTGCATTGTCGCTCTTTTGAGGATTAAGGTTTTGAAGATTTAGGGATTGGCGACGGCAAAAATTGGGCCTCGGTAACCTTACTAGCACGGACAAACAAAACGCTATTAATGTTTTACGCCGGTATTCTGTAAGGCCATGGTATCACTCCGCTCGGTTGACCTATTCGTACCGAAGCTGGTTGACGAAACCTCCTGATTTTTTGAGCTAATCTAAGCCGGCAACGCACCTGCAACTCCTTTGGTGATACGGATATGCCGATTACTTACCATCAACAAATGCGTCTGCTCGTTTGTCTTCATATTACATAAAACATGGACAGATATATTTTAATTAACAGAAGATCCTTTCTTCATAATCCGTTGTCTTTTACCCGTAGCATGCGCACATATAACTATATCTTTTACATTTCCAACTTAGGTACTGTTGCAACCGTAAAAGAGGTAGCCACATGAGCAGTTCTTCAAGGAAAGTTGCAAGAAGGCTAAAAAGAACACACAATTTAAGTAACAAATTGAAAAACATTACAAATAATAAGGTCTAGTGTAAGAGTCAGCTACATGTAAGTCGTTGACGAAGTTAAAGCTCCAGATCGAAGTCTGCAGAACCTTAAACTCTAATAAAAGCTCAAGTAAAAGACCTGGACTTTTATTAGGGTCTACGATTCTGACCGAAGATGTCTTCTTTCTTCGTCTTCTTAGGAAACATTACGATGCTGTGTTTCTTACTGTTGCTGCTTTAGCAGTGCAAGCTTCAAATCGGAGTCTGCAGGACCTTAAACTCTAATAAAAGTTCAAGTAAAAGACCTGGACTTTTATTAGGGTCTACGATTCTGACTGTTTAGGTCTTCTTTTGTATTCTTTTTTTGGTCTTCTTAGAGAGCTTTTTATTTATATATTTAGCATTGATTCGCTCAAAACTCTTAGTCGAAGTCTTCAAAACCTTAAACTCTAATAAAAGTTCAAGTAAAAGACCTGGACTTTTATTAGGGTCTACTATTTTGACTATTTAGGTCTTCTCTTGTTTTCTTCTTTCTTGATATGTTTTTTTTTGTATGTAGCTTCAATAAAGTTCAATTAGAGCTGAAGTCCCGAATCGAAGTTTGCAGGACCTTAAACTCTAATAAAAGCTCAAGTAAAAGACCTGGACTTTTATTAGGGTCTACGATACCCACTTTCTCATATCTGTATTTTTTTCTAAATTAACAAATCATATAGTAAAAAATATATAAAAACATAGCCACTACTAATATGAAAACAATAAAATTTCCAAATAACAATAATGCTTGATAAAAATAAAGTTATAGTGATACATTTCTTGAAATCAAAACACCAAGAAGTCTGCAGGACCTTAAACTCTAATAAAAGCTCAAGTAAAAGACCTGGACTTTTATTAGGGTCTACGATTCTGACCGAAGTTGTCTGCTTTCTTCGCCTTCTTGGAAAACATTTTATCTTACTCTTGCTGTTGTAGAACTGGAACCTCAAAAACGATGTCTGCAGAACCTTAAACTCTAATAAAAGCTCAAGTAAAAGACCTGGACTTTTATTAGGGTCTACGATTCTGACTGTTTAGGCCTTCTTTTGTATTCTTTTTACTTCGTCTTCTTGGTAAACATTTTAATATTTTGTTTCTTACTCTTGCTGCTGTAGAATTGGAAGCTCCAAATCGATGTCTGCAGAACCTTAAACTCTAATAAAAGTTCAAGTAAAAGACCTGGACTTTTATTAGGGTCTACGATTCTGACCGAAGATGTCTTCTTTCTTCGTCTTCTTAGGAAACATTACGATGTTGTGTTTCTTACTGTTGCTGATGTAGAATTGCAACCTCCAAATCGATGTCTGCAGAACCTTAAACTCTAATAAAAGTTCAAGTAAAAGACCTGGACTTTTATTAGGGTCTACGATTCTGACTGTTTTGGTCTTCTTTTGTATTCTTCCTCCTTTGTCTTCTTGGTAAACCTTTTAATATTTTGTTTCTTACTCTTGCTGCTATAGAATTGGAAGCTTCAAATCGATGTCTGCAGAACCTTAAACTCTAATAAAAGTTCAAGTAAAAGACCTGGACTTTTATTAGGGTCTACGATTCTGACCGTAGAAGTCTCCTTTATGTTCTTTTTTTAAAAACATTTCAACTTAGATTTTTATTGTTATCTCTATTTACCAATACATTTTAGTAAATAACATTTGTGATGACTTAAAACTTTAATGTTGTATTCTATTATTAATGATGTAAAGCAATTACATCATTATTAATTTCAGAAAGATACATAAAATGAACACATTTTAAAAATAGCACAATTCCAAACGTTCATGCTATAGGTATAGAATTTTTAAACGTAAAACATATTCTTATTTTTCTTTTGATCACTCTAAAGAAGGCAACCTAAATGATTCCAGATTTCTTGCTATTATTAAGAATATATTTCATTGTAAGTATGGTTTTGTAGCAGCCAAGCTGTCTAATAATAAGTAAACACCCTTTTTTCAGGGAGGGAAATCATTGAGTTATTTTCTCTCGCCCTGGATAAGGCGAGAGGGAGGGTCAGACTTTAACTAACTAAAATGCACCCCGTTCCTACGCCAGGCCGAGGTCTCCGGAAGACCGGCCCCTAGCGTAGCGTTACATAAAATTTGCAATTCCAGAAGTATACATATAAGTTCTTGGCGTCCGCTTAGAATATTAATTGCACCAGTTTCTGAACAAAAGGTCCGTGGACATGAATAACAATCAGCCGCATAATTACGAATATAAAAGTTATCCTGTATATTAAAAAGTTGAAAATCACGGTTTTTATCACGGCTTACAAACTTGGTGGGTGTGTATTAACAATCGTATTCAATGATGTATTATTATATGGGTAGACACGTTGTCTACCAACATTTCGGCGCTTAAAAACGGCAACAATACTAGAACTACTTATTCGCGTAAAGAAAGAAACAGAAAATATGACAGTGTACGGCGGGATGTCTGTTGCTAGAAAGAGATAAATATATTACAACAAAAAAAACTAGTGTCTCAGCAGTGTCCTATGAACTCCCCCAACAATCCCGCAAAATTCGTCGTCTTTTGTTTCTTTTCGTTTGGTCTTTTGTTTGGTCTTTTGGATGGCGCGTGGTGCTGCACCAGTCCTAAGTATCGAGTGGCTACGGTTAGGGCAGTATTCTGATCGCAGGAAGAAACCCTTGGGTGTCTTTGTTATGCGAATATCATCAAAATATTACCTTGCCCTGGGTGGGAAGAGAGTGCTGCATCCACGACTTGGGCCCTTAATTTAAGGTACATGGTACCTTGCAATCACAATATTTAGAGACACAAGAAGAACAATACAATAAGTCCTCCGGCGTCCGCTTGGAGTTTGTTGAAATAAAGTAAGCCTAAGTCTATCTAAGCCACTAACCTGTATCTAAACACAGAAGACCACGGCAACAGTCTCCGTTGGTGGTGCAGGGGGCGCTGTAGCAGTGAGCCGGCTCGTCAATAACGTCATCGATGCGGTTACCTTCCAAAGCCTCGGCGTAGACTTCTTCAGGTTCCTGTTGGAGACAGAATGATTAGAAGATAGCATAAAGACACTTATTGAAAGTTTCTCCCTTGCAAAGCAAACTGTAGCAGACTTTGCCGCTGACGACGGTATTTCCAAAGTGACCTTCAAACCTATTTTTTATGAGATTGGTGGGCAACCGAGCCGATGGATTTCCTGATGGTAAGCAATTGGTACCACCCATGGATCCCGACACCAAAGGAGTTACAGATAAAGGTATGGGATATTGAAGGATTGGGAAGAGATCGGGGGAGGGGGAGGGTTTGGGCCTCCGGTAACCACACCCACACGGCGAAACACAAAAATATAGTTTTACAAACTTTCATATTTTAAATATTAGTAGGATAGGATGATGACTTGCCAACGTAAATTAACTTAGAAAATCTCTACTAGTTTCAAGTCAAAACGGGACTCTTAGTCATTAGACGAGATTAACATTTATAGTGTATGAGAGCCATGCTCGACCGGAGTGATACGGTCACGGTCTCACAGAAAACTGGCGTGAAACGACACTTATGTTGTGTTTGGCCTTGTGAGTGAGGTTAATGGAGGCCCAAATCTTCCCTCCATACTCAATCTTCACATCTCCTATCCTTAAATTCCTAATAAGCCTATAAATCCCACAAGTGGTCGGCGACGCACTTGTAGTTACTCCTTTGGTCTCT